GGGGGGGGCGGGGTGGGCCCCAGAGCCGGTCTGGACGCAGAGGCTAGAGGAAAAACCCTCTGCCCCCGTCGGGGATCGAACCCCGGCCGTCCAGCCCGTAGCTAGTCACTATACTGACTGAGCTATCCCGGTTCATGCTCACAACTTAGTAACCATGGAAAACAAAAACAATGTATGTAAAGATTCAGTCATACAACTTATTTTTCATCTTTATCGAAGTAAGCTGGAAAAAAATTCATTTATGCAACATTTTTTTCAAAGGTGTATGAGATAAAATGAAAATAGTATTAATTAAACTTATGCAAAGTGGTCATTAAAACTGTCTAACCTAAATTAAAACTGAAAATGGCTTGAGAACTTTTCATGACAATATCCAATACCAAATTTAATTAAAATTGGTTTATCTAATCATTCTCAAGTTATTTCATGCATGTGATAGAGCATGACAATGCTCTATGTCATATCAGCTGGACATGAACACATCTTACCTTCCTCACTAAGCAGTAAGATGTCAACTACTTACCTAGAGCAATACCTGCATGTGGTGGACAGCCACTATGAAGTGCATCTAGCAGATGCTGCAGAGAACTAGGATCTATCTGAAGTATGTCCTTTAGCACTTGCAGTTGCAGAACTGGGTCATGTATACGAACAGAGCCTCCACCAACTTCACATCCATTCAGCACCAAGTCATAATGTAAACTCCGTACCTTGAGTAACATGAAAAAATGAAACAGCCAGATTTTTCAACAATGTTATTTTTATTACAGTCTGAAGTCACTGAAGTTAGATACAATCTGCAGATTTATAAACTTCCACAGTTATTTTACCATATTCAGTTACTGTTCTTACTTTATTAATACTTATGGATGAATAACATAAAGCTAACCCACACATTCCTTTTCTTTGAGCAACAACAATAAACTTCCATATCTTACCTAAAAGTTTATAACAAAACTTTTTCTCTTAAGAAGATTTCCTCATTAATATTATTAACAACTGTATGCTTCTAAATATCTCATATCATAATAATGTTAATACATTACTGTAAAAAATAACAATGACATTACAAGTATACCATCTTCCAGTAGCAAAGGGTGGAAAAGATGTATATAAAAATGTTCCAGGTGGGAAATAATGTAGAGGTACATAACAACTTGCAAGCACGCAGGAAAAATGGACATAAACATTCATGCAATCTTGATCTTGGATTTATGAAGTTTGTGAATCACTGCCCACAATTCTCAAGTCAAGTTTCATTTGCATTGGGGATGGAGGGTTTGCATATACAACATAACCTCAAACTTGTCGGATTCTTGTTATCAGTACAACAATACACAATGACTAAAAGAGACACACAAATAACCATGTCCTGAAGATGTTCACTTGGCCTATGACTAGCAAGCATACTATTAATGTATTAAGCAGAACTTTCAGACTGATCAAGGAGAAACAAAAGCTGGATGATGAAAATGGGAAGAGAAGGAGAAAACTAGTAAAAGTACTCACAGTGAGAGTTCCCTTAGTATACATGTTGTATATAAATCTGAATAACACTGCACAAAATCGAAATAATCACATGAATAAGGAGACATACCTGAAGAGGATCTTCCTGAAGGATGTGGACATCATCTGGATGTGGATGTGTGAAAGGGTGATGTGCTGTTTCATAAGTTCCTGGCTTTTCTCCTGGGAAGAACAACGGGAAATCCAAAACCCACAGGAAATTGTAATGTGAAGTTCGGTGATGATTCACACCTTTGCTTTCCAAATAGTTTACGTAATCCAGCCTTAACCTACCTAGAAGTTTCAGCTACAAAAGTAACAAAATAATTATCAATTAAAATAATAAATTCTTGAAGAAATCCAACAAATTCAAAGGTACAAGGATTTCACTGAAGAACTGTTAGTCAAAAAATTTCATGCTTTAACAAAATCTGAAAGTTCATTACCATTTCCACACAAAAGCATTCACTTTGGCCCAGTCCACATCTGCATAACCACTTCTCTAAGACCAATTTCAATATTATACTCTTATCTATGCATATGTCTCCCAAGTGGTCTCTTTCCCACCCCAATAGAGTCTGGAATTTATTGTTTTATAAAGATCACAACTGTTTACATATATGCTAACACTTTATATTTGGAACCAAACCACCTACTCACTGGCTAAAACACAAAACAAAACTCTTCATAACTATGTTAACTTACAACTTGCTCTTTGCTCCCAAAAGCCAGCATAATTACATCAAAAGGTTCTGGATTTAGCTTCTCTTTCAGAGCTGTAACTACATCAGAACTGAATTCTTTCTGTAGGTTCTCCTCCCAGTGCTCAATAGATGTCACTTTACTCAGTATTAGCCGAGTTGAAGGAAACTGCTTCTTGGTCAGGTCTTCATACTTATTTTCAACTGTTGGTGTTAGCTGAACCTAATAGAATCAAGAGAAAACAAAGTTGAAATATAAATCTTATAATGCTCACCACCTTGCAAGATGTAACAAGCAATTTTTCTCAAAAATTTCATTTCAGTCATTTGAATTCTTTTGATTACTGCACTGAGTGCCCAGTTCTTACATTAATATAACAAGCAGCCATTATTTTGTGAAATTTTAGTTGTGTATCCTTCCAGGTTTTGTTTGTGAGATTTTACTTTATGGTTCTGCACATACTGAAATTTACATAATTTGTTTTGCAAATCTTCAACATAATTAAATTTATTGTTATAAACAATTGTTTATAAACAATAAATTGCACTTGCTCTATGGTCTGATTGTTTATCACAACTTTAGATCTTATTGGGTAGTGTCTTTAGAAGGGCTTGACTACATTTTTAATGGATATTTCTAAATTATATTTTAATGTTATACAGAATGTTCAAAATGTCACTGTGCAGTGTTATGCCTTGCTTATGATCTGCCAGTATTGCCAATGCTGCATCATCACAGTGACAGTGTTGCTGGGTCATACATTACTACATAAACTGTGTGAATAATTGCATGAACACCTTGGAGAAATGAATCCATGCTGAGCACCCTGACAAGACATGACTTGTGGAATGTAGAGATATTGAGTGCTCAAGAACATGGAAAACCTATGAAGATTCCTATACAACTGGAACAGGCCTTTGGATCTACCTTGATGATGATGATGATAAGACTCACCAGTGTGAATTACTACCAAACTCTGGAAAAGGGACTAAACTGAAAATTTTCTAAGGATATAATCCCTCATTAGTCAAAACCATAGGTGGTTTGTTACAATAGAAACTACTATTTCTTAGCAAGAAACAATATATAGAATATGAAAATTATGATAGTACTCTGAGATCTTAAAGACAGTGCATTATCTCTCTGTTTTTTCTGCTCAACACATTTCAATCGTATCACCTTTGATTATTCATATATCAGTTTAGTTTTTAAAGTAGAAACCAGAGTAAGAAAAACATAGGCACATTTAATTAGACTTAAAGTAACAGATGCTGGAGAAAGCAATCCACAGTATAATATAATACATTCACACACAATGTCCACATTAGGTTTTCCTGCACTGAAATTATATAAATAAGAATAATTAATATATCACTTCAATAAATATTGGGTTTATATTGTTTGATCAGCATGCTTCATATTGTACATTCAAGACTCATTTATCACAGTCACTGAAGCAAGACAGTCTCACCCAGGCAGCACATTATGACAAACTTAGTCTCAGAAGCTTCATGTCTGACCAAAAGACTTCGCTTCATTCAGAGTAAAGAAATTAATTCATTTAACTAATGTGAAATCAGGACTCACACTTCCTTTTGGTACAACAACCACTCGAGCTGTGAAGTCTGGCATGACCATTTCAGGCAAGTCACTCAACTTTACTGCGTCTGTCACATCTTTGAGCTAAACAGAAACATTATGCAATATGTCAAATTCTTTCATACTTTCTAAAGCAACAGACAAACAAACATCACAGAGAAAAGTCTTTCTTGATAAGCTGACAGTAATTCAGTCATGATATTTACAATATTCCTCACCCAAAAGCAGCTCAACATCATGTTTATAAGCGCCTGCCACTGGTCCTTATAACCATGATTAACATTTACCTATGACACAAGTTCTGCATGAAAACTGTACCTTCATTTCAAAGCGTGTATCAGGCTTATCAGTTCCATACTGATCCATTGCTTCAGCGTAAGTCATTCTGGGAAAAGGAGCACAGACTTTATTTTCATTCTCTTCTGGCCAGCAGTGCTCTAGCAGACTTTCAACCAGAGAGATTATTCCCTCACGATCTGAAAATGACAGCTCAATGTCTAGCTGAAATCACAAATTATTCACAAACAAGGATTAGTAAAGATACAAATAATGTTATTTCCACTTTCTCTCATACAATATTTGCAAGGATTTACCTTGTCTCTGTTTCATTCATGATCCGAATGAATTAATCTTTTAATATCTTATGTATTTCCAATGGTGGCTATATTAAAATGCAACTTATTATGGTATGTTGGGATGATTCAGGACAAGCTATTTAAAGATCAAAGAATGTGTAACTGCCTGATTCAATTTGAAGTTCATCTAAAAGAATACAAGGATTAATTCATGTCAATAGGGATATTTTATAAATGTGATATTTACAGCTTACACGCAAAGAGGAAACACAATAGAAATCTCTTTCAGCCTTCTGGTTTGCAAGTTCCATTTGGTACACTTCAAGTGGCAATTACTGCAAGCATATCTACATTTTCCACTGTCCTCACTCCAGTTTACTCAGTCTTTAGTCTCTGAATGATTTAATGAAACAAACAACTGAAATTTAATATAATAAATATTATGAAAATGAGACAGAGTAGCTCAGTCAATATAGTGTCTGACTATGGGCTGGATGACCAGGGTTCATGCTCGGCAAAGGCAAATGATTTCTTTTTCTTAGTCTCTGCATCCAGACTAACTCTGGAGCCCACCCTGCCCCTATCCAACGGATACCTTGAGTAAAGCATGGATGGATGTGATGCTGACCACTCACCCCATCTAGTGCCAAGGCCAAGAATGAGTAGGAGCTATACCTCCTCTCACCTTAAGCACCTCCATGGCATGTAGTGGGACAACTTTAACCTTTATCTTACTAGCGTTCCCTGTCTGGGACGTAAGTTGTGTACTCAGCCCTACAAACGTTCCCGGTGCGGAACTCAAAACTTGCAACATTGTAAGTAGACTTGGCTACATCTTTTGGCCTCTTTTAGGGGCTGCAAATATTGAATCACTTTCTCTAGGGTTCTGACAAGTTCAACCTGACCTGGGAAATATAACCATAAACAGCAATAAACTTTGTTATTGTCAAGTGGGTTTCGGCTTCCTTTCAGACCCCCTAATCAAAGCTCTGATCTGTGAAAAGAATGTGTATCCACTGAAGTAGGGGAAACAAATTTTTCTGTGTGGTCATTAGTTCATAACCAAGGCTTCTATCACGTTGAATGAGCTTCCAAAGAAGAAAGTAATGTTACTAAGGCCTATACAGGCAATTATGATATTAACTGCATTTTTAAAAAAACTCTATGTATTCTCTGTTCTATTTGAATAAATATGGCTTTTATTTCGTCAATTTAACATGTTTACTTTAGATAATATTAAAGTTTTCCGTAGAGCGTGCACAAAAGTTTAAAAACCTGCAAAAAAAACTCTGTAAGACTGCTACCACTTTGCCATTTAAATCCCCGTCGTTTAAAGGTTAATTTGATATGCAGTATGAAAAGATTTAATTTTTGTACATTTATTCCTTTGACAACGTACATTTAAAAAATGGAAAAATATATTGTTCAGATACATGAAGCAGGTAATAAAACATATTTTGTGTAAGCATGTCTAAACACTAGACCTGGTTCCTGTGATTTTACCATTTCTTTCCACTGTCCATTTAACCAGAATCACAGAAACTGCATTACCATAACAAGTCATTGTTGTACACTAATAATTCTCTATGAAACACATATAAAAATATTATACAAGTAATAATTAGGAAAATGATGCATCACATAGTACCTGAGTAAATTCAGGCTGCCTATCTGATTGAGCTCCTTCATCTCGATAACAGCGGGCGACTTGAAAATATCTGTCAATTGCACCAATCATCAACAGCTGCTTGAACTGTTGTGGGCTCTGAACCAATGAGTAGAAGTGAGAAGGCAGTCTTGTTGGAACCACAAATTCTTGTGCACCCTAGACACAATAAAACAAAAATTAAGAATGGCCTATCTTTGTATTTTTCTCTTACATTTGATAATTTAGCACAATTTAACCCAAAGTGGGTATTTTACTGCAATGAAAAGCAACAAAAATTATAGATGAAAGGGAGTCAAAAAGTAAAAAGTAGGAAAGAAGAACAAGGAATGGTAGAGACCTTTTAATGTTACCCCATTAAAACCCAGTGGTAAATATGTGTACAACTTGCTTTAATAATCAACAACTCCGCATTTTGCTCAAAGAGTGTTGATTGAGAGTGTCTAGAACAGGATACTGAAAAGACTATAGTATTTAGATCTTGAGATAAAATAACAAGAGAGAAATAACAACAGACGGAAATCTTCATACTCACCGCTGTGAGAACCTCAAGTCTTACACATAATTATTTCTTATTTTCTACTAATCAAGGATTGTATGGGCAGGACATGCAGCACACATAGGCTAGAAGATAAATTTGTACATTATAGCCAGAAACTTTGAAGGGAAGAAACCAGCTGAAAGGTCTTTTTGTGGATGGGAAAATACTATTAAAATTGATTTTAAAGAAATACAATGTAAGGGTATATACTGGATTCATCTGACTCTCGAAGGAGTCCAGTGGTTGGCTTCTGTGAACATATTAATGAATCTTTGGGGTCTATAGAATGCAGGAACGTTCCTGTTAACTGATAAGACCAACAGCTACACAAGGACACTATACAGTATGGCCCCGCTTTTCGGCGCTCCGCTTTATGGCGATCCGCTAATACGGCGCTCAACAGCTGAGTCAGAGAAGTGCGTCCGGCGCCATTTTCTCATCGCTGATTCAGTCTGTTTACAGCTTTTGTGCGCTCCGCGTCTCTCTGTATTTCTGGCAATTTTTCAGTTATTACAAACTGTATATTTATATAATATTTTTGTGTTACTACAGTGTAATTACAATGGCGTCTAAGGGTAGTAGCGATAAAAAGAGGAGTCGTAAGCCTCTTACTTTAAATGCCAAGTTAGAGATGATTAAACTTCGT